AGTGACCAGCCCGTTGCCATAGGAGAGAGGACCCCTTCCAGAGGGACAGTCTGAGAACTTCGAGAACTTGGCCCAGGCCTGGGAGAGGGGAGGATTTGGCAGGGGGAGATGGAGAAATGGGAAGCACAGACAAGAGGAGGCAAGAAAACGGGAGGAGCAGGGCTGAGACTCGGATGAGGCCAGCAAAGCACTTGCTTCAGGTGTACGATTTAAGGAGGTGCCAAGAAATTCAGAAACAAATGATATCTTAATACAGTATCTTTTTTTAAAAAATCACAATTAATGCAAAATTTTATGATAGACAAAATATCAAAGTTTTAGATAAAGACAGGATCAATAATAATGTCATTATTGTCCTGGGCCATATTAGAATCTGTGGAAAAAGGAAGAGTGAATAATATTTTATTCAGAATTTCAAAAATCTGTTCACCCTAGTGACCACCCTAGTCGTGGCCCTGAGAGAAGCCTGAGTGGTGAGGCTTAGCTGGGTTTGGGGGCCACGAATGGAGCTGTGGGTGCTGACATGGGGGTGGGCTGGGGTCAGAGTGCTGGGGGCCCTGCATGCTGGCTACAGACTTTCTTCTTGGACCTACTCCACACCTCTCCACCCTGATGGCCCGTCTGCCTTCCCCTCCCTTTCACTTTGAGTTCAGCTGGACCACGGGCACTTTCCACGAGCCTCCAGGGCTGCCTACGGCTCCCTGCCCCCCGCCCACCTCATGGTCTCCGCCCGCCCACCTTCCCTACTGGACTGCAAAGTCCCTCAGGGCAGGGACTGCGTTTGCCTCATCCTTGTGGGTCTGGTGCAGGATAGCCCTGAGCTAAATGTTCCTTGAGCAAATGAACAAATAAATGTTTACTATCAGAGGCATTTCCTGATAGAAAGAGATGGAGGCGCTTTCAGCATCCCATCGTCTTCATACCTTTCTCTTCCACTTTTGGATGGGTGCATTAGGGGGCTCTCCCTGGACCCCTTTTGAGCAGAAGTAGATGGAGAGCTTCCTGGGACACATTCTCATTGCCCTACTGCCTGCCTTTGCCCATGCTATTCCCGCCACCGCCAGGCTTTCCCCCTTGCCCACCCCTCATGGCCAGAGCCTCTGCCAGGCCCCATAGCAGTGCTCCGGGAGGTGCACCAGGACCCTCTCTCGTAGAGGGCTCCCTCCCATCATCTCTAGAAGCACTTCTGCTGTGCCTTCATGAGTTAGTTGCAGAGGTGTCTTTTCTCCCCCACTGAACCAGGAGGCAGCCAGAGGGCAGAGGTGGGGCTTTTCCCATGTCTGATCCTTCTAGAACAGAGTTGCTGCTAGCAGTTTACAGTTTTGCTGTTAGTGAGGACTGTTCATCATAAAGATTCCCTATATTTATGATTGACAAAAGCAGTCTAGAGCCATGATGTTACTGCATCCTAACGATAGCCTATGTGGTAGGAAGAGTGGGTAAATCAATCACCCGCTTGGGGCAGATGAAGAGCCTGAGGCCCCAAGCAGGACGTGTCCGGCACGAGATGACCAAGCCAGGTGGGGACAAGCGTGGGTGGTCTCCCACCTCTTGCTGGGTCTGCACCCTGAGTGTTCTGTACCCCTCCCTGAGAACACAACCTGGCCACACCCTCTCGGCTCTTGTCTCCCGCCTGACTGAGCAGAGTGCATCAGTACAGACCATGGCATGCTCCTGTGCCAACTGTCCCTCCCCCCACCTGAGGCACGAAGCCTTCCCTCCCCATGCTGTTTCTTCAGGTACTGATATAAGAAACGCCTCCCAAGTTACCATCTAAGAGGCTGTTCCAAGATACAGAGATGCTAGAAGGTAATATCTGCATGGAATGGTTCTGTCTCCTCAGTCACATTGTCCTGTCTGTCTCTTCATATAGCTTATGGACAGTCATCAGTTCATTGACTGATGATGGAGCCCTTCAACCCATTAGCGTTTAGGGAGGACCTGCTGTGCACCAGGCCCTGACCTGGGTGCTGAGCAGGGCAGCACGAACCCTACGAAGGTGCATAGGGCCCTGCACCCAGAGGGACAGCCTGCTGGACTCGCTTCCCAGAACAACTCAGACTGGGAATCACACTCAGAAACTCCAGACAGACACCTCCCCAGATGTGGGGGTGTAAGCTGCTGGGCTCCCTGGGGCAGCACTCTGGGGAGCTGGGGTGGGTTGTCGGGCAGGACTCACCTCTGCTCGCTTCTCCAGGCATCATCATCATGATGACACTGTGTGACCAGGTGGATATTTACGAGTTTCTTCCATCCAAGCGCAAGACTGACGTGTGCTACTATTACCAGAAGTTCTTCGACAGCGCCTGCACGATGGGCGCCTACCACCCACTCCTCTTTGAGAAGAACATGGTGAAGCACCTCAACCGGGGCACGGACGACGACATTTACCTGCTTGGAAAAGCCACGCTGCCTGGCTTCCGGAGCATTCGCTGCAGAGCATAAGCTGCCTGGCCAGGCCCCCTCACCCTTCTCCATCGGGCATTTTACAGCTGGCCTCCTGGCCACCCTGGGCCCAGGAAGGCTGTTCCTGAATGATCACTGCCTGCGCTCCAGGCAGCAAGAACCTTCAGGAATCCAAGGGCAGGGACCCAGGCCCAGCCTGCCCTTTTGTCATGGGGGTGTGTGCATCGAGAGCTTCCCACCACACTCATGTACACATGCCTAGGATTCCTTCCAGTCAGAGTCTTCTCTGCCCCTCCCCTGCACAGGTAAATGCAAGATCCACCTTTCCCAGCAGGGCTGCCAAAGCTGGGCTGCTTTCCCTA